CCATTCGTGTTCCCGCTTTTTACCCAAATCCCACCTCACCCCCCCCCCCCCCTCCAATCCAAAACTCAATTAGCACAAAGCTTAGATAGTCTTCGGCGTTGCTTTCCCAATTGCAATGCATCTAACACAAACTGCAAGAACCAGTTGCCATAGATCGGATCACTGTTTGTACTTTTAATGCCTATAAACGATATTCTTAAATAGAGCCATTTCGACTCAGACACTGTTCTATCTGTTACATCAGTGAAAAGCACCTTATCCATAAGAAATGAGAGTAAGTGATGACTATCAGTAGATTCGTGTTGCAAAGACCAACTGAGCCCAATGCTAATGCAGGGTTCGCGGTGTCGATTCTCGTTGCTGTACTCTCATCGATGTTTTCACCCAACTTCAGTGGCTACTTCACCAAACCACTGTTTCATCGTTACCTATTCTCACCTCCTAGGATACAACAACCGAATCCATCTCTCCCTCACCCCTTCCCATCCCCCATATCTTGAAGTAGCCAGTCTCGTTGTGTGACTGAACTTCTGCTCCTCATCTTACACTCACATTCATCACTCCGAGTTTTGATGGAAATCATCTTATCTGTTTGCTAAATGTATTTGTGGATTTTTAATTTCCCTGAAGAGATCGGGAATGAAGTTGAGTAAATCACTACTCAAATTACAAATGAGTCCTCACCAACCCCCCCCCCCNCCCCCAACCCCCCCCCCCGCCACCTCCTTCCTTTCAGTTGGAACGTACTCTGCTGTACTCTTTTAAATTGAATACTTACTTCTATGAACTTTCAAAATTAATTCTGCTATATACCGTTGCTTTGAAGTTGTGAAAAAAAAACAAATTGACACTTCGAGAAACTTTTCGCTAATTTGTGTTGCAACTAGATAGTATTGATTAATGGTGACACTGCTTTAATCGATTATCTGAAATTCTGATCGAGTATTTAGGCAAACGAGAACAAATATCGTCTCTCGGTCCGTGAATTACCTATCCACTTAATTGCACAATTGCACCAGGGCACGAGACATCCTTGTTCATGTAGTTACGCTCAATTAGGCAACTAGAAAATTCCATTTTATCCATAAGCTTTCAACTTCCAGATTTCTGAAATGCTGAAGCCTAGTACTGGACATCAACATAGTCTCACTCAATGACCAATTAGATGCACAAGTGCTAATTTATATACCACCTTCTTCCTCTCATTTTTTAATAGCTGCTTCTTCATGTTGACCCTTCAAATGATTCGTGCTCCTATGAGGAGTATCACACTCCAATTGTGTTCGTCTCCCACTGTCTCTTCACCCCTAGTAATGCTACAATACAGATTGTGTGGATTGAACTGAGTCGTGAGTAGTAACATTGCCAATAGGAAAGAGTAGTAAGTCATTTTCGCCAACAAGGAGGAAGAGAGATTCCACTCTGCTTCTCTCACACACATGTAACTTTGTATCCTCTTCCACAAATAGTAGAATGCATTCTAATATACAACACGGACCAATTCACATAAGCCAGTCACGAAACAAAATAACGCTAGCGTTAAATCAGATTGCGGCGAGGTGAAGTGAACGGTACTCACTGCCCATCGTTCAACCTTGGAGTGCTTTACTCGAAAAATAAGCACTATGTCAGCTTACGATCTCTTAGTTAGGAAGGGAATTGACGACTTGGGGGGTTGTTTCGGTTTCAATTTAAATTCATGGGGCATTGAGTACTATGGAGATCTCACACAGCGCACCCTCAACAGTTGCTTATTCCTCCCATATTGTTTGTAGGCCAACTAGGAGAGGTGGTTGAAAATGCCGGTCTGTATTGGCGCTGACGTCAAGTTTCAATTATGAAGAAATATTTTAATCAGCCGAAGTGATTCAAACATTAACATTTAGATACTTCCGGAAATTGTCCAAAGTGATATGAGCATTTCGTTATTCCTTAGTCTAATGAAATGTTTAATCCATATCAAAACACTGTCTGAAGCTGGACTAGATGTTACCTCTTGATCAGCCTGTTGAGGAGGATAATGGAAGGCAGGTGGTGCCATCAACTCTGCAATCCTTCCAATTGCACATACAACTTCGATTCTAGCGAAGGGACTAGTGCAATGCGTGCACAGTAGTGTTGCGATCATGCTTCTTAAGAAACCCAACAAGGTATCTTGGCTGCACTTGAAGGAAACTCACCAGCTTCACCCCACGCGTATTGGATTATCGATTATTCAATTTCCACACTCAAATCAAGGCAGTCAACTGAGAAGGTGGATTTAGGTAATAAAAGAGAGAAATTTTCGCATAGGAAAAGATGGAACTGCATCTTGAAATGGGCATTTCATTCACTTACTTGTTCGTGTGATTGAAGTTGGATTCTCTGTCCCTGGATTCTCCGATCACCCCCACCCCCACCCCCTCTTGGGTGTTAATCAGATGTCCCCTCTCCCACCACCCACCCACCCACCATCATTGATATCTGACTTTGTAAATTGCTAGCCAAACCTCGTAGAACGTTACTATTTCTCTTTAAAATGGCAACGAATATACACCGGCACTAAATCATCAGTCTTCTCTCTTCTTCCTATGGAGGTGTTACACCTACGGTGGGGCATCCTAACCCGCCATAGGGAATAACTGTCAGAGTGACAATAATAATTCACCTGCATCCAAGTGTCAACTCGAGTACTCGCTGCTTCATTCCACTTCGAACTACAATAGAGGGCCACCAACAAGGTAAATAGGTGAATATGCGAGCTTTTCTGTAATGAAGAGGCCTCACATTGAATCTCCTCTACCAGTCCACAATTTGAACAATATCTTCTATCAGCAAATCTAAGAATTCAAATTATAAGTGGAAATAAGAAGCGTCATGGCCACACTCTGGTCCCACTTAACAACACATGACCAGAAAAATCACTCTCCTCAACTCGCCCCCTTAACTTCCACTTTGTGCTACCCATTTGAGAATTACGTGAACATATCGGATAACTATTGCCGATAGTCGACACAATTAGGACAGTCACACAGGCAGCACAAAACACATCGACTCGAAGTGGATAAAATGGGAGATGTTGACCGATTTGATCATCTTCATCTAAATATCCTGGACTTGAGAACGTCTTGAGGTCCGTCATTCTGGCAAATGTAATGCTAAAAGCCCTGCACTCCAGAAATCCATTCCACTCTGTTTTGCATAGAGAAGAATNGAGTAATCGCGCGAGAATACATTCCATCGAGTCAACTTCCAATGCTAAATCTCCAACATCTGCCAACTCGGCCTGCAAACCAAATGCTCATTGCAATAACCATGGACACTTCCAGTAGTCTCGACTGCCACATTTTCTCCTCATATTCCAAGCATCACCTAAGAGAGGAAGATTTGCTCATTAGTCCTTTCGAGAAATTATCTCATTAATTGTGTCAAGTGATACTAACCCACCGATCACTGGCAGACTCCAGGCAAGATGAACAAACCTCAAGCAACTTAGTCACTTCAAGGACAGAATTGTGTTCACCAATGTGACGAATTCGAACAATTTGGAAAATACTTAATTTCAAACATTTTTAAATTGCTTTCAACATTGACTGATTTAATAATAATTTATTATACAGTATTTGTCAAAGAAAAAGACACCAATATTGTATGTGGTATAAATTGGACGATGTGAATTATGAAGTGAAAAATGAATTCAAGTGAATGTGAGGCAATAAGCAAAATATCGATGTAATTTGGAACTATTGTGATGATGTCACAGACGAACGTACACGTTGGGAAGCAAACATCCACAGAAACTGGCGTCATGTTTGATTCAACTTCCGAGGTGAGTCTGGGTGTACGTCAATGGCCAGCAAATGATTGGTCACATCTGTTCAGACTACCTGCTAATAGCTATTGAGCAAACTGCTCAAACCCATTAATGTCTCCTCCAAATTCCCCACCTAAAATTCCACCTGAACACAATTTATCTATGCAACATAAGGACTTCCTCTGATTTAGCACCTCACAAAATGTACAGACGAACGCACACGTTGGGAAGCAAACATTCACAGAAACTGGCGTTATGTTTGATTCAACTTCCGAGGTGAGTCTGGGTGCACGTCAATGGCCAGCAAATGATTGGTCACATCTGTTCAGACTACCTGCTAATAGCCATTGAGCAAACTGCTCAAACCCATTAATGTCTCCTCCAAATTCCCCACCTAAAATTCCACTTGAACACAATTTATCTATGCAACATAAGGACTTCCTCTGATTTAGCACCTCACAAAATGTCTGCTAATAGCTATTGAGCAAACTGCTCAAACCCATTAATGTCTCCTCCAAATTCCCCACCTAAAATTCCACCTGAACACAATTTATCTATGCAACATAAGGACTTCCTCTGATTTAGCACCTCACAAAATGTCCACCCATCCACTCGTTGATACGTGTTTTCCCAGAAGAAATATTTATCAAGCACTGAAAATAGTTGCAAATAATTTCAACACGCAATGAAGTCTAAAGACTACAAAGTGCAAATTATAATTTCCCAATATGAATTAATGGATTGAAGAAGGAAAACTCAACTGCTTCCCAAGACCACCCTCCACCTTTCCACATTTCCTCCCCTCCATCGAATCTCATTTTTCGATCCACGCGTTTGCCATTTCTCACTTATTGGCCATCTTTACACCAACTATCCTATCTTGGAAAAGACAACTTCACTCTCTTGTTGAACTGAGTTATAAGTAGTAATGTTAGTGGCAATCAAGCATATAATTACGAAGGTCTATGTCTTATTTTGTCTTTCCCTATCTCTCTCTCTCTCTCNCTCTCTCTCGATGCCACCACGACTAACTGGTGGCGAGATTTCGAAAGGTGAAAGGCGGAACGTTGCAGTGACAAATGATGCCAACACGCCATGAAGACAACAAAACACGATAATTAGTTTGGATTATGGAGGAATTTTTATTGTAAAGAACCATTTTTATGTAAGCTATAATTGTACGCGTAAACATGGTGACAGTTGAGGTTCAGTTTCCGTCTTCTCCATCCTCCTCGCGATGGACATGACTTCTAATTAAACACAGAAAATCGATAGTGACACCCAAGAACGTCTTGAGTAGAACCGTCGAAACTTGGTGGTCGACGCTAATATCTCGAAGGACTGGCAGGATAAGATGTATAACTCGGTATAAAACCAAGGCGGCAGGTCTGAAACGATCTCGGCTTGAAAGTTGAGGCAGCGGTGACTGCGGAAGAAGTGGTGGAGGAGGTGGAGGTGGGGGTGGAGGTGGAGAAACAGGGGAAGTAGGTTCAGCTCACAGCCCTGGCCCTTGAGATTCGCACAACTGAACGACTGTGTCGCCTCTCCCTTCGTCGAGAAGGTCCAAGAGCATTTCCGTCATCTCTTCTTCTCGTGGGCCTTGTCCTGGAGTTCTTCTCGTCCGAGTCACTACTTCCCTGACTCATCGCTCTCTGCTCAGATTCTGAGCCCGTATTGTTAAATAACACGGTCTAAACAGAAGAATATATCACCAATTAGACACTCTTTAAAACTCAAGATTGTGGTTAATATTCAAATAAAAAAGTCGTGTTAGAGAATTAGTTAAATTAATCCAAACACTAAGAAGAAACAACAACAGGTAGTTTTACAAAATTTGTATTTTTGCACTTTGGAAGCTTGAAGGCAAAAAATAACGATAAGTCAGATATATTTCAAATGTCTAACAAACATATGCAAATAAGTCTCTTTCAATAACAAATCTTACCCATTTGAGGAAGCTTTTCCCTTACTCGTCTCATTTTAATGGGTAGCTTGGGGGTAATGCTTCTGGAAAGAAATCTGATTACAATTTTCATGTCTATTCACACGTCGCACGAACCCTTTGCTCCATGGGTGTAAACAAATGGATATTGAATTTGTGTCTTCTAAATTTTTCGGACTAACCAGTCTCTCGTTGATAGGGTTCAATTGTAACGTGGTGGTGGTAGTCATCGACTCTGGGTCATGCATGAGGTCACTCAATGGTCTCTGAATATTCGGATTCTCACTTCTAAATTGACCTTGAACTTTACAACTCGTCTCAGACAATCAAGAACCCTTGCCTTGGTCTGGAATCTGGAAGGCATTTGCTGAGGTTTGGCTTACAGCAATTGTAAAATGGGGGGGGGGAATTTCAATCCGACGAGCCAGTTTGATCATCGATAACGACATCAATCATCAAAGTTGGCTATGACGTAGGCTTTGAATTCAAATGCCATTCCTTATTGTTGACCAGCTGATTATCCCCGTGATCTATCAGGAAGCCACTGTGGTACAACACACCGTCAGGGTATTTAAATGCTCTTCGGAGGGAACTGATTGGTTTAACATATTAACTTTCTACTCACCAATAGTGTTTTCTGAAATTCAACCTATGAGCAAACAGGTCCCTCATTTAAGATTAGTTTGGAGGAAGCGAAATCACCTACCTCCCTCTTACCACATACCGGACCTTTATTACTATCAACTCGGAATTATCTGAAAATTTGTGATTTGCATGTTGTCCACTTAAGGAATTGAATGAGGAATAGAGTATTACTATTTAGCCTCAATGGAAATTATTTAAAAGGGAAAATAATGAGATAACAAAGTTATTCCTGATGGTGCCTATTAATTAAGCTTCCACAGAGATAGTTCAGGTTGTAGACCTGTGAACTGGAATTGTCAATGGAAGGTTTGCAATGATGTACTGAGTTGAAGCAGTTCAAAATTCGAAAGGGGCCATCGATAATACAGTTATTCATATATTTGGAACATCAGAGTTACACAATTGCTTGAATTGTGTCTAAGTGCAGATATGATCTCCNAAGTTATTCCTGATGGTGCCTATTAATTAAGCTTCCACAGAGATAGTTCAGGTTGTAGACCTGTGAACTGGAATTGTCAATGGAAGATTTGCAATGATGTACTGAACTGGAGTAGTTCAAAATTCGAAAGGGGCCATCGATAATACAGTTATTCATATATTTGGAACATCAGAGTTACACAATTGCTTGAATTGTGTCTAAGTGCAGATATGATCTCCTCCGTAGTTATAAGAACGATGGCCACTGACAATACTGCTTATAACTTTGTTTAGCGAGAGAGAGAGAAGTTGTCTATTCCAAGATAGGATAGTTGGTGCAAAGAAGGCCAACGGCTGAGAAGTTGCAAACACGTGGGGCGAAAAGTGAGATTCGATGAAGGGGGTGGAAATGAGGAAAGTTGGTTAGGTGGGAGGGGGGAGGAGGGAGGTGGGAGGTCGTTGCAAACACTTTAGATTTCCCATCTTGAATAAATAAATTCATGTTGTTAAATAAAAATTTGTAATCCTCAAGATTCGAGTTTGAAGTAAAGTAATTTTATTAAAAGCCCACACAACCTTGGAACATATCAAGCATGAAGCTATAAAGCGTCTTTGCTGTGCAGATAGCGCATACTAACCGTAGATTGGGAGGTATCAGAGGACATGGCTAACGTTGTCACCGAGCACTTTTGCATGATAATATTTTCGCCTAGATAGGCATGCATTTCTTCACAACCATGGAGTGAAATCAGTGATTAAGTCGGTGGCTATAAGCAAAGTTTCCTTCCACAAAGTCAGGGTTAACACTTTGCCAACTCCTGTCACACTTTTGGTTGGAGGTACGTGGAATAATCCACCAGCATTAGCTAAACAAGGCCAAGTTGGTACAGTCTAAATTTGTCGTTTCCGTCATCTGGGAAGGCCAAATAAAAAAATAGAGAAATAAGATAAGAGCGTGAGATCAAGTTTGAACTGAAAGAAGAGTTGATTCAGCATAAATGTTTCCAGCAATACATAGCAAGAAAGACCACCACAAAATTAGGGAATCAAATTGAGTGGCTTTACTATGTTGGTCTTATTCACTCGGCATATCCCCAACTTGTTCGAATTCGTCACATTGGTGAACACAATTCTGTCCTTGAAGTGACTAAGTTGCTTGAGGTTTGTTCATCTTGCCTGGAGTCTGCCAGTGATCGGTAGGTTAGGATCACTTGACACAATTAATGAGATAATTTCTCGAAAGGACTAATGAGCAAATCTTCCTCTCTTAGGTAATGCTTGGAATATGAGGAGAAAATGTGGCAGTCGAGACTACTGGAAGTGTCCATGGTTATTTCAATGAGCATTTGGTTTGCAGGCCGAGTTGGCAGATGTTGGAGATTTAGCATTGGAAGTTGACTCGATGGAATGTATTCTCGCGCGATTACTCTAATCACAATTCGGATTCTTCTCTATGCACCACAGAGTGGAATGGATTTCTGGAGTGAAGGGCTACAGGCATTGCATTTGGTGGAATGCCAAACTCCAAGATCCTTCCCAAATTTTCCACTTTTGCAATGAATTTTGATAATATTCATTCAAATGTTGGCAATTATTGCTTGCTTCCATACTGACACTATTCGTTTCAAATTTCTCGCGTGAATGGAAAGAGCCACTCTGCCAACACCAGGCAGTATTAATTGTGTCGATTATTTCCAACATTTGGTCGATGTGTCCACTTACATATCCAAGCAAGTGGTGAGTAGGACACAGTCAAAGTGATGGAGGAGTTTTGGATAATGTTGCTGGTGGGCATCGTGGTGCTTACATTGTCAGTTATCCGTAGGTTTCCCTTATAACCCTCCCCAACCCCAGCAAGTGGTGAGTAGGACACAGTCAAAGTGATGGAGGAGTTTTGGATAATGTTGCTGGTGGGCATCGTGGTGCTTACATTGTCAGTTATCCGTAGGTTTCCCTTATAACCCTCCCCAACCCCACTCTCTGCCTCTCCACTTTCCTCTTCCCTATATGCTCTTAAGCATGTAGTACACACGAGTCATTGTATTGGCGTAGTAACATGTGGCAAAAATTAGCTTGTAGGTTATCCAGTGAGATGTCAATGTCGCGAACATCTAAGTCTCACCAACTCACGAGGAGACAGAAATAGTTATGGTGGAATTCAACGCCAGAGGACCCAACTCCAATCGTACAACCAAGGAAGCGAATGAGTTACCAATTTCAAGATGCAGTACATCTTACCCTTCTATAAATGTCTTATCTTTACTAAGACGTCTCTCTTTTAATACCCGCAGCAGCCTTCTCACTTGACTCTCTTGATTGAAGCTTGTGATTGAAGGGTGATGTGGGCTGTTGGTGAGCCAGTGTAGTTGCCTTCATTACCAGACACCAAGAGAGGTGAATGCTAATCGAAACGATTAGCACAAGATGTGTCAAACATCTCTCTTAGAAGCAAGAATGCTCACAATGAGTAGGTTTCGGAGATCTTTTCGTCACTTTCCCTATAGCCATCAACAGTTTCGGCTTCGTGGGTATGCTGAGGAGAGTGTGTACTGTCCGTGCCAAATTGAAAGGTGCAAATGGCGTTGACCTTTCACCTGCACTGTCATGTACCCTAATGACCTAGACAACTACACTACGTCATCGGAAGAATATGCACTTTGCACGTTAGTCCTCAGAAAGCACTTAGTGGCAG